GAATGACAGAGGAGCAGGTCAAATGTGTGAGAGACTTGAGTGTTAGTACTGTACTAAGTACTTAAGACTCAACACTAAAGTTTCTTACACTAGCCTCTCAAACACTCATTAATTTACAGTACTTTCATGTATACATACAAGAACAAAGTCATTCAATAGTTTGTACTAAATTTTCCTTATTTAATTATAGAAATAACTTGGCTTGATACTTATAGTAATACTAGTGTAACCTCTCAGGTTACACACATGACTTTAGATACATATAGAGAGGGCTATTTGTAGATACTTAGACCTTATCTTTGTACTTTACTTTTATACTTAGGTCAACCTCTCTAATCCCAGGTCTTTGCCTGTTCTGTCTTCCTGAGTAAGGCTCCAGCCTTACAACTAGTTGTCCTGTTGGCTGAATTGCTTTACTCACTCACTACTTGAAAGATATGAGAGAGCATAATTAATTAGGCCATTTCTTACAATTTAGATTGTAAAAATGTATTTATAGTAAGTATAAATGTGACCTATCATATAGCTAGTTCTAATAGTTTTAAAATCCATGTACTCTACTTCTAAGGTATGTAAGAGCTTCAAACCAAATAGTATTAATACTTTGTTCTTCTGTATTTATCTGTAAAGATGAAAGATGCTCATTTAACCTAGTCACCAGTTCATACTCAATAGGCATTTCAGGAGGATTAAGGATAACTCCATTCCTTCTATACATATTTTCACCAGTTGCTAGTTCACCTCTCTCAGAAAGTATAGTGTCTAACACTTGTATTAGTCTATATACACAAAATATTAGACAACTATGAGACATACCATATTCTCTGTCATTCTCTCCATATTCAGCCCTTTCTTCTGGTAGATCATCACCTTGCATTCCTAGAGCTAGCATGTTGAAAAAGAACATATCCTATGGTGAGCAATTACAGGAGTCTCAAATTCACATTGTGTGATAGTTCCATGCATGAGTAAAGCTAGCCAAGTCTTTGTTGATAGATAGTAGGAATAATTGATGTAGTAACCAAATATGATTTGGTTCGTTAATATCCAGTCCAGAGTGTTGTTCCAACTGTCTGAAACAAGCTGCCCATTTTGAGCCTACTTGTGTTGTCACATCAACCCACAAACACTCAATTCTTATGTTATGGACAGATCTATTAAAAAAATCAGTCTCATCCTTCTTTTATTAAGAACTGGTACAAAAACTAAGTACACACCTGCCCCAAATGTATGCTCCACTTCCTGGACCTCTAAACTGCTCCATCCATGTAGCAACTAAAAGATTCTCAACTCTATGGTTGCCCTACAGTCTTACTAGTACTTTAAACACCCAGACAGTATTGAAAAACAAGTTCAAGACTGTTTCTCCTCTATTATTATCTGATGCTTGAAGACTAGTAATAAGCTGAGAGTACCCATCTATGAACCCATGAATAACAATGCCCTATCAAATAAGACCTAAGACCTGATTGTTAATTGTTAATTAAATCTAAACAGGAATAAAATTCTTACTATGTTGCCCATCATGGTGCTACAAAGCATTTGGACCAGGCACACTATATGTTCAACATTCTACAGTAGTGCAAGCAAATATTTGTCCTGGAACAAGTCTCCTTAGAGATTGCTGAATCTGATACTCCCTAACAATAAACCCTATTGACTGTAATGTCCCTTACAGTATACTGACCCCCTGATTAGGGTGTTGCTCACAAATATTATGAATAAGCTCATCAAGCTCATTGTTGCTAATAGGTGACACACACTGAGTATACAATATGATTCTGCCTGGCTCTGATGTGAAGGGATTTTCTCTAGGTTCGGCCACACCTGACTCTAACAAGTGCCTTCTGACAACAGTCCTCCCAACATGCAAGAAATCTGTAATCCTTTGTGTTGGAACAAGCTCATAAGCATCCCTGAGAAACTCCTGGTTGATCTGGACAGATGGCTGCCCTCTTTGTCTAGTGTACACATGGCAAACAAGTGGTGGACATCCTTGATGAGAATGTTCTGCTGACTCCTTGTACTGTAGCTGAATATTGGTCTGCATCTGAAACAAATTCTGACAGAGTGTGCTACACTCATCCTCTGAGAAGATAGACAAATGCTACAGTTCATAATCAGTGTACTGGGTGTTATACATATGAGCAAAAACTTCACCTGTGTAAAAAGACCAATAAATGTGTCCAGCTCATTGCCTAGACAAGACAGTAAATTGACATCATCATGTTGCTGAATAGCAGACAAGATATTACTGGAAAGCCTCTAGTACTGTAATCTGAATTTGTTACAAAGGTTTTCTTCTTGTTGTGTATTCATATTAACATGTTAATTGCAAATTCTATTATCAGCAACATGT